CACCATTCTTCCTCTGTGTACTCTCTTGGTCGCGGTAATAGCAGGCGGGATATCTCGTCGGCCGTAACTTGAAGGCTTACACCAATTGCGCCGGCAATGGCTCCGGAAACGACGTATTGTGGAAGATTTCCCATTGATCTTGGATGTCGATGAGGTTCACAGCTCGATGCGTTGGCGTTTCTACAATCTCCCCGCATTTTGGCGCGGCCGATATGAGACATGCGCTAATGCTTATGGAGCTAGCAAGTGTATTTCTCTGCACGAATGAGAAGACGCGCACCGCCACTTGAAATGTGGCGTAGCGCCACGCGTGGAGCTTGCACATAAGTAAATATTCATAGATGAACAACGCCAGACCCGAAAGATGTAGTAAAAAATACATAAACATTCATAACATAATCTAAAGGAAAATTCTCATTCCCCTTCAGTTTTCTCAAAGCTTCGACTGGTAATATTCATCGAAATAATACGCAAGATCTCCTTTGTCCAACTCTCTACGCGTCAGGCCGTTACCAAAGAATCGGAACCTATTCGTTGACCGATACGATATGTCGAAATCCTCGCCACGAATGACTTTCAGCATCTCGTAGTAGTGAATGACTGAACCGGGGTACATTCCAGTGACCTTTTATGTCAGCGCGGTTATTACAAACGATTGAATGGGAAACTAACTTTGCCCGTCGTTCTGTATTTCTTGTACCATGAGCGACAGCCAGCAGACCAAACGGTATACTTAAGGAACTCTTGCGCAAATACGTTGTAGTCATCGACGGCTCCCGGCTTAACTGTGACATATCTGCGTCTTTATTTAGCAGCTGCGACGCTATTCAAGGGTTATGACTGTCAACCTAATGTCTTCAGTCGCAATCTTCTTCGCCCATCGTAAGATGTAATCTCCGGTCCAGGTGAACAGCGGCATGAATGATCCGTGGCCGATGGGTGCATTAGGCCCTAGAAACTTGAAGTAGTTGGGCATGTGAGGCGGAACAATTCCCATGTATCCCTCCGGGTCCTCTTGCCATAATTCCCCAAGATCCACGCCATTCTTTCCAATACATTTCCAGGCGGGGACATGGCTCACATCGAACCCGGTGGCACACACTATCACATCAACTTCAATGTGCCTCCCGTTGATGACGAGACCAGTCCCCGTCATATGGTCAATCGATCCGAAAAGCGGTGTAACATTCGACATCTGTAGTGATTCGAGGTAGCCATCACCAGGGGTGATTCGGCGGCATGCAAATTCCCATGTCGGCACGAGTTTGTTGATCAGGTCAACATCGCCGTTTAGCCTCTGCTTCATGACCTCTGTTGCAGCTGCGAATACCTCTTTCTGTGCATCAGACCCCTTGAAAATAAGCGGGAACATGACATTCATGTCGTTCTCCACAGTCTTTCGGTATTTGTGAAATTCTTCCGGCTTTGCCTCCCATCCATCTTTCTCCTCCTGTGTGTCTTTTTTCTTTTAGCTGGATTTACGGATTCTAAGACTAGAAAGCTTACACTCAAAGTTTCCTCCGGCACCATCCTTGGTATGATGTGTTAGGTAGTTTGGTGTTACCCATGTTGGGGAGCGTATCACGTTGTAGAGATGTCCGGCAATCTTCTGGAGCTGGGGAACGATTTGGATAGCGGAGGATCCGTTCCCGATTACTGCGATTCGTTTTTCTGCATAGTCATATGATTTATCCCATTTAGCGGAGTGGATTCTATGTCCCTTATAACTATTGAAGCCAGGAATCTCCGTAGGATAACGAGGCTTGCTAGTGTAAAGTTAGCGCCACTATCACTATCTGCACGAGAGAACCATACTTTAGAATTCCCGAGCCATCAACAAACATATCTGCTTTGTCATAGATTATCTTTCCATTCTGTTCGATCTTCAGCTGCCACTGTGCCGAGGCTTCGTCCCATACAGCCTCAAAGAGTCGCGAATTGAAGGCGACATTCTTTTTCAGATTCCATTTGTCTGCCGCCCTTTGTAGGTACTCTTGGATTTCTGCTCCGCCAACATAAAATTTGCTCCACTGAGGATTCGGCTCAAACGGCAGGGAGTACGAGTTGCTTGGGATATCGCAGCCTACACCGGGGTAGATGTTCTCGAACCAGGTTCCACCGATTTCACTCTGGACCGGTCAGTCGAGTCGGCAGAAGAAAACATCATTGGGCCTTTGTACGCACATTCTTTTCGTAGATTTGATGGTCAATGTAGTCCTCCATCTTGTACTGATGTTGAATCTTGTGTGCCATGTTCAAGCCGGAGACTCCGGCACCGACAGTCACAATGCGGATCTTGCGAGGCGTGAATAGCGGCTCCTCAGTGAGTGGAACCCAGTTCTTAGGCTTTGATGGTGCCGAAACTCCACCGGAGATGTGTGGAATTTCCTGGGCTTCCTTCATGATGGTGTCTGCGGGGTTTTGCGGCGTGGATGGTGATCAATCCGAGGGGGAATTGTACAACACTATATATAATGGCATTGGATATAGTATATTGAGTTATCAGGTCTATCAAATGCATGTGACGGCCCGGGCTAAGTCTCGCGTAGGTTTCCATCGACTGCATAACCGGCGGGATTACCGGGGATTGGTGGGGGTTCCTACATCTAGGCAAATCATGTTGTGGGTAGGATGAGCGAAGTACCGGTGCCGCCGGCTGTGTCAGCGGGAACGTGCAGCTTGAATAGCGTTGTATCAAAAAGTTGCGTGTTGTGGATATCTGCCGGTAGAGTTCCTACATGCTGCTAAAGTTTCGGTTGCCTCTTCTGGTGACGCCGCCGATCGCGGCTAAGGCGGCATGGGACGTTTGGAAAGGGTACATGCCTTAAATGGTATCGTACGGATTAATAGCCTCGTGGAAACCACGCATTGATCTTTAGCAAGCTGGAAGCCAGAGGTTGACTTCATTGTACAGAAGTCAATACCGCGTGTGAGTCTCTCAATTAAGGCACCCGAAACCCGGTAATAGCGCTGGAAGAACGTAGAACGTACACTTCTTTTGCAATGGGAGCGTCTTAATTCGCCTTTTCGCTGTTTCTGGATTATATGTTGACTGAGCGCATGAATCCTGGAAGTCTGGAATCTTGCTGATGCTAGTAACTCAAGCTTATTTAGACTCATAGCTGATGGTAAGTATCCGCGCGTATTTTTGTGGACTCGTACCGAGGTTTCATATCAGTGCGAACCGAATAAGTAGTCCACAGAAGTACTCTTGAGAGAGGAGTAGCTATTAGATGGTGATATCGCCGTGTGCAGAGCCCAGCTAAACAAGCTACTCGCTAGTGAAGAGTCTAGTCCCCACCGCACTTGCTATGCACAGATAACGTAGTTGATGAATACGTGAACTGTGAATCGGTATTCAAATAGTTTGACTGAGTGTATTAGGGGGCTATTCTCGAGATTTGTAATCCAGAAAATGTGACCGCTTCAAATGGGATAAAAGACCCTATCGGTGTTAGCACACCGAATCACTCGGCATCAAAGTATGAGGATTTCAGTGAGCATCTAACCATCGCCATAACACAAAGACCGCATCCATCTTCTTCAGAGATAACCATTGTCGGTGTTCACTTACGGGGTGAAGATTTTTTCTTCAACTCTTGTTCACACACCTAGGCTCCATGCAAATGGTTCTCTCCTGTGAATCACCTTTCTTTTCAACTGCGTTTTCAGTCAACTAACCATTTGTACTTCTGCAGTTCCCGCGTCCCTTTTCTACCGCCGTGATCACATTCGGTACCTCTCGTCACACGAGTGATCATATGTGATCCGTGTTCGTCATCATTTGTCACCGCCGCTGGTGTTCTCGTTTGTAAATTTAAAATCATCTTTCAACGCTCTAAATGTAAACGTCTTCGGGATAAATCTGTTGCACTCCATTTTTATCGTGCGCGCTGGCCACGATCCGGCCTCTACGATATTGTAACGTCTGGTAGGTTTGAAATGGTGACGAAATTTGGTCGCACGCAGTCGGGAAAATGATTACTTGTTCGATCAAGGGAAATACTCCCTCTAGGTTCCTAAGAATTGAAAGGATCATGAGTTTGCATGATTCATAGGAGTTATTCATTCATGTTTTTCTACACTGGAGATTTGATAATTGCCTTCGATGTGCGATGCCATCCTAACGCATCGAACTCAACACGCAAAAAGCCTACTCCGAGCCGAGCCGGCTCGTGGAAAGTTTGGTTCCCGGACCACTGATATCATAGTCTCTTTCGATGCAACCCAGAACCACGCTCTCTCTGCCAACCTGCCACAGGTTTAATTTAAAGTTTTAACATACTCTTTCATCAGTCGGTTTTATATAGTTCAATGGCAGAATAGGGTCACTAAGCATGCACCGGGGCCGTGATGCAGGTTCGATTCCCACCAAATTCAATCTTTTTGTCCGTCGTTCGCGTGTCCTCTGAAAACTGTTGCAGTTAATAGGGTTACATGAGCCACGAGAATGATTGTCCCTTGAACCACAGCTTTCTGTGTGTATTCACGTGTCGCATCATGAAAGTCAGGCGGAGGCCTGTTCACATATCTGTGCCTCATGGATGTGAGATTCTATGTGCTGTTGACTTCTGTACAGCCATAAATCTTCATAAAGCGTGTAAGTAATCTTGGCATAGCGATGGCGTTGATATGGTGAACGGATCTGCTAGGGCTTTCGGGCGCTGTGCATGGTCAGCGTACTCTACTCACTTGCCACGTGCCGGTCAATAATATGGTGCTAACGCAAACAAGCTCAGCGATTGATGGAGATAGAGATATGGATGTATTTGGAACTGCCAAGAATGGATGGAGATAGCATTGGTTGTCTTTGAATAACGGTACATAGTGCCTGTGAGGTGAGGTGAGGCTCGTGATCATCGGTAAGCGGAATTAGCGCCTGATGTGAATGGTCTTTGACGCGTCGTCGTGGGGTTTTCGAAAGCTGAAACGGCAGCGGAAGTCTGACACAAGAGATCCAAAAGCGTAAGATTTATATGTAAATTTTGAGAAAAAAATAATGCTCACGAGCGGAATTGAACCGCTGATCTTCCCATATCATACGAGTGGGACGCCTTACCACTTGGCCACGCAAGCATGTCTTTATTCGACTTTACAAAACATGATATACATACATATATCAAATAATCACAAGAAGCGATCCTTTCGTCGCACCCGTATAATCCATTCCGGACTTCCTCTACTTCATTTGGTGTGATTCCTATTTATTTCTGGTGTTCATGAAATCCACATTTTGCACTTGGCCTGCGACATCTTGACAACGTATATGCCAAGAAATGACCTCACCCTCACTTGTGATCACGATGCAAGATAACCATTCTCGACATGCACGACCTGCCGCTTAGTACATACAGACATCGCTAGCGCCACGTTCTCTATGACTAAGAACCGCAACCTACTACCACTACTTCCCTTCTCAACGGAGCTGCTTGAGAACTTTTGAATTACACCCTGCCGAACTGGAACTACTCTAACGTGACACGCGCCACCTTCACCGGATCCCGCAACTCCAGTCAACACAGGCTGAGCTGATAGTTGAGTACGATCGGCGTGGATAAAGTTTGCTGTCGATTCGGAACCCTCTGGACACGCAGCCGATTACTCGGGCTTGGAAATAGTGGAATAACTCCTCAGGAGCTGGAATCTCACAAGGCCGCATGACTCCCGCACAATAGTAATTACGTTAGCCGTGGGATAGATCCCAGCGGATTTCTTGACTCCCTGTCAAAGGCTTCTCGAATGTCGAACTCATAGAAGCTTGTCCTAGGGGTCGACTCCGGATGAATCTCCAGGTGGTTTACTTGATACATAGTTGTGGGTACGTTCAAGTAAGTCTTTAAAGCCATGTTCCTGATTCGCAAGACAGTTTGTTACACACAGGATAAATACTATGGAGGAATAGTGGGGTTGCCAGATCTACCCACAGCCTGTTTCCCAGGATATGAGATGAAGTTGGTAGCCTTACCGGTATGTTTCTTGTACATACTCCTTCCACTACATGGACTGCCCTCGGGGCTGTTTTGAGTAAATGCGAATTTTAAAAAATACCTCAGCCGACAGATTTCAGGGCCGGGAATACTTTTATAACTTTTATCTCCATAGATGTTTTCTAAGTGTCGTAATCCACCTCTTTGATCAAGCCAGAATTCTATGACGGCGGTGCGTGTTATGTATCGTGTATGCACCTCACGGATACCCGGGCCGAATGCTCCACCGTGACTGGGACAAGTCACTCATGTTTCCATAGAAGATATCTTGTCAAATGGACAATGCATTTATCCATATATACGCAAAAACAGGCCAGCGCGGCTAAAAAGAGTCCTGTGTGCCATGTAGTTACAAACGGCTGGATATCCGGCAGCTATGTAGTTAATAAATCCGACAAGATGTGGATGAGAGACCATGCAGAACACCCCTAATTCATGGAGTCGTTTGGATACAACTTTCGGGATACGATTTCTCCACCTTTCTCAAGGATTATTCCCCAAAGCATGTCGACAGGATCTCGGCTCGGTGGCCGTCCGGCTCACGGCTGAAGAAAAACGGTAGACGGGTCCGACCGACAACGTCTGTGGTCTCTTCATGGTTTCAAAGTCATCCAGGATTGGCCTTCCGGCACGATACTAGCCACATATAGCGTCGTTTTATGATCATCGATGGTTAAGCTTCGGACAGAGGTTGTCGTTTATGGACGCTCCCGGTTCGCTTATTCTGTCATACATCAAATTTAGAGCATGTGCTCGTCAGGCACGTACGCCACTGATACTCACCCATGGTTAGTGTTCTTCCTTATGAAAAGCAGTTGATATTCTTACCTAGGAACACTGCGTCCGATATCCATGAGTGAAGGCTGATATCATACATGTAGCCTGTGTTAGAAATGACTACACATCCAGAGATCTGATATTTTTGGGGTTCATCAGCCAGCATAGTCTACTCTTTGTGGAAACAGTACAAATCAGTGATCACCCGGTGCACACATCTGCAAACCAGAATACGAACCACCAGTTAGAAGGGGAGCGGTAAATAAGATCGACAGGCTGAATTCTCCAAGTCACAGCACCGATCAGAGGCTTCAAATCACCAGCTGGGGCGCTCCTGGTCCTCGTCAAGATCTTACTCCACGGCAGATTTCCCGCGATGTATGATCCGTAAGTATGGAACCTTATTTACAACCCTACCGCTGTTATCTTAGCGTTTACCATCTCCGAGGCATGTGGCGTCCAGAAAGTCTTCTCCGCACCGTCGGCGTTTTATAATCTCCGTTTCCCTTAAGGGGCTTCTTTTAGGGTAAATTATGCTATTGCATGTCCAGTTAGGCCAGATGCTCACAGACCTCTAGAAAGGCCGATGAGTTGATTGTGAATAGAGTACAGAGGAGTCTCTGTAGAGTTGAGAATTCTAAGTTGTGCTCACTGGAACTAACAACTCATTGCGTTTTTACAGCACTGCACAGTGCAGAAGAATCCCGATGAAATAGTAGGTAATATTGCGATCATGTGGTGAGCACCATATTGCTTGCGCCCTCGGATCCAATCTGAGCAAATTTGCTAATATAAATTGCGTATGTAGCTGTTTATTCCAGTCTCGATCTACCAGGACGATCAATATTAAGTGGTACGCATCTTCCATTCGCCCGGTTCGCTTTCGGTGTCGCGATAATTTCCAACGGCTCTACGCGAGTTGAAGTTTCTGCAACCCGCGGTTACTATGGGTCACAAAACGTGTTATCCAGAGATGGCTGTACCGAAGACGCTATCTACTCGTAGCTGTATTGAAATACTGCGAAGTTTTAACTGTAGCCGTCATCATGATAATACTTCTGCAGGCGCTGTAGCCATACGTCCGTGATCGATTGATGTATGTATGTCTCTCCACATGGCTCTCACAGCTGTATGTAAAAGTTATCCTCATTTGTGCTGAGCGAATCAGGGACCGAAGCTTGCGGGGATAGCCGCCCCGGTGGAATTTATCCGATACGACGCCATCCGCCTTCCCCACTCCCCGCATTAACGAGCCGCTGGCTAGACGCTATGTACCCAAACCATATTCCTCAATACTAATCAATAGCTTCTGCAATTAGCTAGTCTGCTGGATTTGAACACCCCTCTTCAAACACTTGCTTCAATAGTCGAGCAATGTACGGGCATGGCTGGTTATTTTTGCCTGAATACAATTGATCCGGTTGAACCGAACCCGGCGTCAAGATCGATGCGCCAGCGCAACCCGCGAGCTTTCCGCAGCCAAACGTCATATCATGGATATTGAATACGGAGTTCTGGAATTCCGGGGTTCGCGTAGGAAACAAAAATACTTTGTCATTTACCGGGAGGCATTGCTCGCGTGGGATAATTGCCCATCTCATACCTTTGTTGATTTAAGGTGAACGTTACATCGGGCAGCACCCGGAGCGAGCAGTACGCAGCGTAACATCCAGCGGTCAGCTTTATACAAAGTTCCACGTTTCCAAAGATCAGTGGGGCTCTGCTTTGGAAATCGCTGCGAGCCGCAATCTGTTCATTTTTGGAGTTTTTGCCATAGATATACACAGAATTCACTTTACATTGGGCGAGCCAGTCGACCACAGTACCGGTGGAAATATCGGCCAGTAGAGGCAAACCCGAGTTCTCCTTCAGAGTCTTTCTGCTATGGTAGGCCTGGTTCATGGCACGAGGCCCCAAGCATTCGAGCGGCATCTCGTTCTCGCTGGAGAACGATTACGGGAGATGAACGGTGAGGAATACTTGCTGATTCTCGCAGCACAGAGTGTTCAAACAGTGCTGTTTTGAGAGGCTCCGGAGCGATATGCTGCCGCCGGAGTAGCGTTGCATCCAGCCTCTCTCGGTTCTCCAAAAAAGACTTGCATACCCATCGGTCGGGCTTTCCCTTTGGAATACTAGCGTCCTCGCCTGTCAGAAATATGTCCGGGTGTGGTACCCCTAAAGTTTTCCCCACATGCACCGGTATTGGCGCTAGTTCATGTGGTTATGGTATGTACCAGGTCATGGACCAAATCTAAGTTCTGTCTTGGGATTACCAGATTTTGAGACAGTACAGCACGTTCACGCCACCCTCACCGCCGCGTACAACCATCTCACTTCCTTTTAATTCCCCCTCACTCTTAACGACTGTCGGTCCTGAGGGGTACATCACTTCTGAGCCCTTGGTTGCCTTACGACAAGGAATAGTAACCGCCTCCTTCAAAGCCACTCCGGAGTAACAAAAAGGCTATCATATTCGCCTCGAACTGATCGATTCTGAGAAAGCAGCAAACTCATATCAAAGAGATTCATCTTGTTTCTTTCTGGAATATTCTCATTGGTTCTGTGCCACGCCAGAACATACGCCCCCACACTCGCCGCCGGCTATGCAATGACCTAGACCCTCTTTAAGAAGTTCACAAGAATCACCTGTCAGATCAAACTGACCCTGCATATTAGATACAGGAAGAGATTTTGTTGTGTTGAGTCAAACTTTTTCGAAATAAAACCGCTCCAGAACCATTGGGACAATCACCACGGTGATTCCCAATCTTCATCAGCATCGTGGAGTCACCTCTCACAATTGACCATCCCGGGGTAACACTGGCATCGATTCCATCCCGTCCGCGACGCCATAGCAGCCGATCATTGTTCCGACCATCTGGAATACGAAAAAGCAATAGCGACAGCGGAAGCCCTTCGCTGCGGTACACCGGCAAGATGTCTGACATAATTGGCACTACGTCTCCAGCAATTTCTCCAACCACCTCGACGAGTGGCTTGCCGACATTGCAGGATGGTTTCTTGCTGAGCTTGGCCCGGAATGGAAGCAACAATACACAGAATTCTCCTGGAAATGGAATGGGGTCTACCAGTTTGGATTCTGCGTTGCGGAAAGATTCCGTAGGCGTCCCGAATCAGGAGCGTTCTCAATCACGTGGTTCCGACACAGATGTTCAGATGAGTGGACATTCGCACAACAATGGAAACGGGGACCGTAGCGGATCGTTGGTATCACCGACGACATCAAGGAAGAGACAAAGCGTTGACGGAGTAGAGTATCCACGACGAAGGGCAACCATTGCTGTAAGTTCC